CGTACTCGATCAGAGCCTGCAGAGATTCCACTTGATCTATTGCAAAAGTCACCTGCTATTCGACATCGAGGGCGCAGCAACACGCTAGTCCATGTGGCTACGACTCAAAAGTTGTTGATGACAGCTTGAGTGAAGTCGTTGGTCTTGGCGTTGCCTCCCATGTCGGCAGTTCGAACCTTGCCTTCTTGGATGACTTTGTAAACGCTGCAGGAGATAATTTCCGAATTTGAAGAAGAAAAAAAATCTACATCAGCTTGCATCATGGCGAGAGTAGCGAGTGTAGCGCATAATCCAAACTCACCTCTCCGCAATTTGGTTTGCGTGCGCATCCAGTCCGAGGTGTCGCAGCATCATGGTGGAGCTGAGGAGCATAGCAGCAGGGTTGGCAGTGCCTTTGCCCATGATGTCCTTCGCAACGTGTCTGCAACCGGGTTCGTACAGCGCGTACTCTCTGCCAATGTTGGCTCCCGGCACTGTGCCCGGTCCACCGACCAGAGCTGCACCAATGTTGCTGACAATGTTGCCGTACAGATTGGGCATCACCATCACGTCGAATTGTTGGGGACGACCGACAAGCTGCATCGAGCTGTCAAGTCCAGGTCCGGCATGGTCAGGCTATCCTCCCGTGTGCCCGCGGCGTCCCAAGAGCAAATCATCACGACTCACGTGTTGTCGACAATCATATCACCGTAGGCGATTCCGCTGCTATCGTACTCTTTTGCCACCTGCCTAAAAGTGTTGAGAAAGAGACCATCTCCCAACTTCATAATGTTGGCCTTGTGAACGCAAGTCACCTTTTTGCGCCCATTCTTGAGGGCAAAGTCGAACGCGAATCGGCAGATGCGCTCTGCTGAAGCACGCGTGGAGACTTTGAGCGACTCGACCACGCCGGGGTAAGACTGCCAGTAGAGGCAAGGATGGCGATGCCGGGTGTCAGGTCGGAGCAGGTACATTCGTTGGTCATAGGTTGGTGCGCTCTTCGCTCACTCACCTGGTGCTCCAGACCAGAGTACTCTCCTTCGGTATTCTCACGAATGATGGCAAAGTCAACATCCTTGTGACGGGTAGGATAGCCAGGCAAGGATTTGCAAATGACCAAAGAAGCGTAAATGTCGAGTTGCTGACGCATGGCCACGTTCCAAGAGTTGTGCGAGGTGGTGTCGATGGGAGTGAAGAGAATGCCTGGACAGATGGCAAAGAGCGTCCGATTTGATGACCCTTGGCGGTCAGTCGTCTCTGCCAAATTTGTGCTGATGCTTCACCTCTCCTTTGCCTCGTTCCTGCTCACCTTTGAGACCAACCTTGTTCCTCCTCAGACTTTCCATGGCCTCCTTGAAGAGCGACTCGCTGCCGTGCGTTTCTCCAGAGACGTTGAACTGCTCCCACTCGACCGGCACGTTGAGCACCTCAAAGACCTCCTTGACTGCTCCAGCAATCTCGGCTCCGATACCATCTCCTGGGATCAGCGTTACCGTGTACACGCCTTGTTACGCGGATGGAATGTGGGGGCCAAAGCATGTCAATTGACAGTATGCCTCTGTTGCAACGCTGTCGCTAGACTCACCGCCGTACTGCAAATGCCATTCGTGAGCGACACAATCATGAAAAAGGCAGGCGTCAGCGCAACGAGAGCGATACTGGCATTGTGCGGTCAGAAAATTGGTTGGCAGGTTCAGCTCACCTTTGTGGGACCTGCATGGGCTGGTACGCGGGCAGATCCAGCTGTCAAGGTGGTTGCCGACCTGGCCAGAGTGGGCAGAGCCAAACGTGTAGCTGCAGAGATGGGTGTGGGCACGGTGGCCTGACGCAGAGCAGGCGCTGCTGCCGATCTGATCAGATTGCGCATCGATGCCATCTTTCAGGGCGTGGATGAGATCTGAGAGGCAGTGAAAATGAAGAACAACAACGATGTGCTGCGTGCAACAGCTGCTGCCGTTGTGTAGTGATGGGAGTGGAGAGATGATGAGGTGTAAAGGATGATCACCCAATCGCGAATGCGAATCCACAAATCTGTATTGTGCTTCGGAGCCATTCACGGTGCCATCGCAAACGGCACCAGCAGGCAGCAGGAAGAAATGTTACAGCAACGCAGGCCGACCCA